GACTGCAAAGCCGTTTGAACTCCAAGGTCGGTGGTTCAAGCTGACCAGCTGCTCCTCAGAAACCCTATGCTATGGGTTGGAACTGACTCAACGGCATTTAACAACAACATATATATATATATTTGTGCATGGGGTCGCTATGAGTCGGTTCCGACTCGATGGCACCTGACAACAACATATATATAAATATACTCTAATTTTTACTTTTGTTTTGTTATTGTGAACTGAGCAATAGTTTACATGGGAGAACATCAGCTTTACACCATCGTTTCATTGCCATGACTCATGTATATATATATATTTTTAAGTTCTTTTAGCATCAACTTCACCTTTTAAATTTATTTCTAGTTGTTTTTGTTGCGAACATACAAAGCAGAACATGAACCAATTCAACAATTTCTACTTGTTCAGTTCAGTGACACTGATTCCATTCTTCAAGTTGAACAACCTTTCTCAGCCCCGTTTTCTGGATTGTTTCTCCTCCATTAACATGAACTCATTGCCAGCTAAATTTCCTATCTAATCTTTTGGCTTGCTGCTGTCAGTTTGATCCCATATGGATAGTTCTTAAAAGAGTGCAATGCTCAAGGCAAACATTCTTTCCTAGTTAAGCTAAACTATTGTTTGGGTTTAGCCAAACTAAATGGTTAAGCTAAACTATTTTTTGGTACTTCAGGGGATACTTTTGGTTTAAGGCTTAAAGATTACCTCAGGGCAATAATTTGGGGATTTCATCTTGTTTCCTTGGCTTCATAAAGCTTGGGTTCTGTGAGAATTTGAATTCTGTTCTATATTCCCCCCCTTTTGATCAGAATCCTTCTATAGAATCTTTGATTAAAATATTCAGTAATGGTAGCACCATCCAGTTCTTCTGGTCTCACGTCAAAGGAGGCAGTGTTCATGAAGGCAATTTGCCACACATTTCATTTCCTCCTCCTATTCCAGAATCTCCTCTTTCCCCTGTTACTCTAGGCAAATAGAATCCAACTGGATGTCTGCTTGAAAGCTTTTAAAACCCTAGGCACTATGCAACAAGCTAAGAGACAGAACACTAAACACAATATTAGTTCAATAAACGGGACGTCCCATGAAACCATGACCGTAAATCTCCAAACCAAATCCCATGAGGTATTTGGCTATACTTGGCAACCTTAGCAGATGCTCTTTTATTCTTATTGTTGTTCATGCATATTTCTTATCTACGTGTCATAAAACAAAAATGACTTTCCAAGAGAATGCATCATGTCTATCTGCCCCTTGGCACACTGCCACTTGCCCCTGAGTTTGTACATACATTTGTCAGTTTGAAAGACACAGTTTGATGACAGATGAAAAAGAACTCAGGCCCTGGTTCTATGAGCCTCTTCCGCTTCCAAAGGCTCCTCTTACAGTCTCTGGTCTAGCATTCTCATATCTGTTGTTGCTGAGCTGATTCTGCCTCACAGTGACCCTAAAGGCAGAGTAGGACTACCCCATTGGTCCTTCCAAGGGTATAATTTTTACAGAAGAAGATCACCAGTACTTTCTCCAGCAAAGCAGTTGATGATTTCAAACTACTGACTTCTCAGTTAACTGCTGCACAACCAGGGATCCTTATCATCCTTGTTGTTGTTGAATGTCATTGAGTTGATTCCGACCCATAGCGACCCTGTATAGGGTTTCCAATGAGTGACTGGTGAGCTTGAACCACTCACCTTGAGATTCAAATGGCTTTGCAGTGCAGCACATTAACCCACAGCACCACACCATGGACATATCATCCTTAACATGAGTGAAAGATGAGTGATCAATGCTTGTTGAATGGATGAATGAATATAAGGTGGTAGCTATATGCTACTCCCTCCTCCACACACCTTACATAATCAACCTCAATCCTATAAAAGGAGAGCCCTTCACATACTCCTCCTCCAAGCTGCTGCTAGCTGCTGGAGTCATCCGTCCACCCGCCCC